GCAACCTCAATGTAAGCTTCAAGCACAAAACTTTTTGAAGACGCTTCCCTGTCGAAGTCTCTTCATTTCCTGTGGCTTTTGCGGCCAAACCCCTTTTCAGCAAGCAATTTTGGACTGTAAGTTGGCTGTGGCGTCTCTTTACATATATGTATATGCCCATATACTATCAAAATTACACTTTAAAAAAATATTACATTCAGCTTCAATTGAAGCAAGATATTAAAAAGCAGCTCTTATTTTAAATATAACACTCATTTAGAGAAAGGAGTAATTACAACTAATGATGATGTTGATAATTTGTTTTTTCAAAGTCTAAGAAACTGTTCATTAATGTAGTATTGTAATTAAGGATATTTACTATGACAGTTATTTTAAATAGTCGCCTGATTCAGTCCGACATATGTCCTTACTGCCTGCAGCAAACCCAAAAAAATATTACGAAATTCGTAGACCAGAAAACTTTGTATTTCAGTTAATTAATGTAAAAATTAATATTAAGGTCTCTATAAATATATACGTGTATCTAACAAAAAGCTGTATTAAAGACCATTATTTGGTATTCTTGAAAAACACTTCTCATAAATCATATAGCAAAAATCATCATTAATTTTAGGCCTTGAAACTGGCACTCTATAAACCAGAAACCTTTTTTATTTGAAGGTAAATTATGTGAAAAAATTTCTATAAATAATATGTATCTATTCGTTGTTTAAGACCAATATTTTATGACTGTTGCCATAAATTGAGTACACAAAGTTTTCCAAGTGTAGCTCTCAAAGTTTGAACTTATTGTTTTGTGCTACCTGCAGCTGCCCTTTTCGCCATGTTGATGCCACCACACAACAGCAACTGCTGCCGCTATGGACCCATCGTTAAGTTTCGTTTTTCAATATCATTTTTCAGCGCTTTTAACGTTGCATGAAAATTGAAAATTATGCGCGCCTGCCTTTTATTTTTAATTTACGTGCAAAATGTTGAATGCCATTAAGCCAATACAGCATGTGTGTGTGTGTGTGTGTGTGTGTGTGTGTGCTTGAGGTTGCGTGTGTGTGTTCATTGTAGATTTCTGCTTGTGTGTGTGTGTGTGTGTTTTTGGCATGTTTGAAAAAATTGGCGCACATTTGTGATACGTTCCTCTTGATAAGCGCGTACACACAATTTATGTCGTATTTAATCAGATTGACGCCAGCTTTTCCAAGCGACCACCCACCTCACAACAAATATCTACAAAATTCTGTGAACTACAATTTACGTGCTGGCAATTTGTATAATTGATTAAATATGCGTGCCAAAAGAGCCAGGCACGAAAATCGCGCACAATTTGCAACTAAGCCCAGTAAACAAGCAAAATAAAATCTCCAACTAACCCACTAAAAAGGTGGGCAAAAAAAAAGAGAAAACCCCAAAAATATATAATTGATATTGTAACCCAGACCTTAATAGTTGTACGAGTATATCCAAATATCTGAATATCCTTTGGCTTTGGCAATATTATTATTAAATTAGTGCGCATAATTATGATGTTCGCGCACACACACACGCACACACACGCATACACACGCACACACACACACGAGTGTGTTTGCTGAGGTATTCAGAGCTATCGAGAGGCCCCGGCGATAAGGCACGCCTGGAATTGGGTCGCAGTCAACCGCACTCCCCCTGCGCTCCCCAGAACCTCGACCTTTTATTGGCCTGTAGCATGAAAAGGCGCTGACTGCTCCACTTTATTCTTTTTATTTCTCTTCTTATTTTTTTTCCTTCTTTTTTTTACTATTGACTTTACGAGCCCAAGCAAAAATATGAATTACACGAAAAATTATTTGGCGCCGCTGTAGGTCGTGGGCAGCGAGACAAAGAAAGTGAGAGATAGAGAGAGAGAGCAGGAAGGGGCAGTTATACGGAAAGTTGACATGTACATGGGGTAACACTCAATAACAGTTGACACATGGCATTTGATTGCGTTTCTCCATTAGGGAAAAACCCCTTCGGGTATGTATTACTTAACCATCATTCAAGCATACGTTAACGGCTACAAAAATGACTTGCAATATTCCCAAGCGTATCAAGGTCAACACATTTAATGCCTTTCTATTGGCAATAGGCCGACTAGCTTCCTATGTGAGCAATCATGCCACTTCTTTGTTCCGCCTATTGAATCTCAGCTGGTTTGTCGTGTCTTGCATATATTTGTATATCTACTGTCAATAAAGGAAAATTTTGGATTAGCTATTTCAAAATACGGCTTATACCATTCAGCAGCTGATTCAATTCACAATTGAAATAAATAAATAATGGATATGTTTTTGAAATATATTTTATGAAAATTTTTATTTAATTGCAAAACCAGTTAGAAATAAAGAAAAATTGTGACCATGGTCAAATAGCAATGACAATTATCTTGATCTATGCCACAAAGGTTATATTCATTGATACCACATTGATACCTTTTTGAAAATTAAAAGAGTATTATATATTTCAATATCAAATTTTTAAATAATAAAAAGGTATTGAAATTAATAAGCTATGTAATGCAAGCTTGATGGGTTGAACATAGTTTGAAGACAGATAAAAGATAGTTTGAAGATAGGTTGGCGACAGGTTGACACCCTCTGTAAGCTATGTGCATTTGATAAAAGCCACAACCATCAAAAGCAGAAATTCACCCAAAAAAAAATAATTTACAAGGTCTTCCGCCAGTTACAGACATTTGGACAGTTTGAGGATACCACGAATAACAATTTTTAATGGGAGCAGTGCATAAAAAGTTTTGTACAACAATTATATTATTTAGTTAAAAAAAAAAAAAGAATTAATTTGAGTAACAATTGATTCGATTTCAATTATTTATTTAGCACAAAGTGCGTGAAAGACAAACATAAAAAATTATAAATAAATAACATTAAGATTTCTGTATATCCTCACTTTAAAAAAGTGATTTTATGCAATATAGTTTCAGTTTTTACAAATTTGTGTGTATTTAGTAAATAAAGGACAATTTGTTTGAATCCAATTTATTAGTCAATGATGATGAAATATGATGTATATGTGATGCCAGCAATCGAACATGTTCATTATATTAATAAATAACAATCAGATAATGAAACGCATCACAGCAATTATTACAATACCAAACAGTCAATAAAATGGTGTAAAAAGGTTGCTAAATACTAAAGATTCCTCTATTCAAACTTTTTCTTTTTTATCTGAACTATTTATAAAATGAAATATGGAACTCGACTTATATATGGGGCAATAAATCAGGTTGAATCGATACGTGAATAGTTTGAGGCTTGTCGACATTTCAGCTAGAAGGCTTTTAATATGCATTTGAAACCTCCTAACTTATTTATAAATACTTTAAGAAATATTAGAAATTGGATGCTCCAATTTGCCACAACGTAAATGTTTTTCATTTTGAATGGATAAAATTGAGCTTCGAAGTTTATTTCAGTTTTATGCAATTTGTGAGTATGGGAAGGCAAGGAAGGTAGCATTTTTAAATACCAAAAGTTATGAATTTAATTGGATAATTGCATTATAAAAAAAAAGTACCTTTATTAACAATTAATGCTGTGAGTTAGCTCTTAAATCAAATGAACAAAGTTTCACAAAATTAAATCTCACATGGCTAGGCGAGCGTAAAGAATGCTTTTCCTTTTTTTTGATGAAATTGAAAAAGTTGCAGCAGCTCCTCTATTATTTGTCGAAATGTGTAACACTTTAGTAATTACACTTTGCATTTTAAGTTGCAACTATAACTGAAACTGTAACAGAAATTGTTAGCTGAACGAAACTGAAACTACAATCAAAATTGTTGCTTTATCATAACACACTCGCAACATGCCCAATTTGTCTGAAAAAAAATTCCCTGAATACCAACCACACAGACACACAGCTTTATACCTTTTGTTGCGCCTCCGACCATAAAATCTGGGAGAACCAAAAAAAAAAAAATAAAAATAAATACATATATATATATGTATATATATATATATAAAACAAAACCACGAAATGAAGAATTACACAAAATAACTTTCGCTATATTTTTATAGCTGTGTGGCGAAGGGAAAGCGGAAGTGGAATGGGAATCGGATGACGTGTTGCTGATTCTCTAATATATAATCCACTGCAAATTGCAGTCAACGCCTCATGCACCAATATATCACAATATGCCCCAGCACGCTGACCTCGCAGGGGGTGGCATGTGGCACACCAACATTCTCCAACACCCCGCACATCTCCCCGCACATCCAACTAACTATCTCTTCCGTGCCTGCTGTCCAAGCGTCCAAGCGCTGACCTGGTACATATTTTAGCATAAAACATTTGCATAAAACTTTCACGGCTTATAGCGCTCGAATGCAATGTAAAAGTTTCATTGTGCGCATTGGCCATATACTTTGTGTACTCAGTGTATCAGGCCGCACCTCAACTCCGCTCCACACGCCTCCCCCTTGCGTACTTTCAATTTTTATAAATTTAATCCATAGCAAACAACAGCAACAAGGGCTGCTTACGTATGGCTGACTCTTTCAACAGCTTGGTCGACTAGGAGATGGTCTCTTTATTAGATTTCTAAATGAAATATGCCAGAATATTGCTTGATGAGTATTCATTTCAAAATGTTCTTAAACAAAAATCTACAACTAAATCTACCAACAAATCCTTAAAATACTTGAATACTTATGAAAAAGCCAAACTATTTGTCTAGGAAAATGTTATTTTTATCACATTTAAATATATGATTGATGGTTATTCCTTAAAAAACAAATATCAGCAAGAATTCTTTCAAAAGGTTGACAACTCAAACGAAAAACTGAAATATTCTTGTATTCAACATTTTATTATTTATATATATCATTCAATTATTGTTGTAATGATTATAAAAAAAATATGAAGAAATATTTTATATCAAATTTAATATTTCAGATTTACTTCTCTTTGCATTTATAAATATAATAAATAAATTATAAACAAAATTTGTTTTTTATTTAAAGGTGCATTCGATCGGATGTGAACTCGATTTGCCCTAATGTAAGAGAGTTTAAATAACATAAAAATACTTTTAGACGTATATACGAGTTGCATGAATGATCGTCATAGATTTCAATGTTGCATCATAATATTGAAAAATAATAAATAGTTGCCGTTGATGACTGTCACCATCAACAGATTTTCTCATTTTTAATGTGTATGTCTTGCATTATTATTTGATTTAAACATATATTTTAATGATTGATAAATTTAATAGAATATCTCATTTTATAAATCTCGAAATTTTAGAAATATATAATTATCGCTTCACTAAACGAAATGATGGAAAACTTCACTATTATAGCTTAAATTGAGGCGGAAGAGAGACTGCTTAATGGTTTTCAGATACGAAGCAAATTATTTCATTAGACTCCATCAGTCGTCAGTTTATTGGATCATACAAGCTTAGGTTTAGAACACACTGCATTAGCACGTCCTTGATTCCTTGATTCCAAATAAAAATATAAAAAACATTTTTTAATTTTATTTCACTTGGTGAGGGTTGAGGTAAAACAAAAACTCTGCACAAAGTAAAAAAAAAATTTTTAAAAATAAAAACAATGAAAACTAAATTTAAATTATTTCAAATAACTTTAAATCGTAATTATATTTGTAACATTTCTTAATTTTTATTAAATTAATAACTGTTAGCTATTTAGTTGGCTAGAATATTATATTTTCAATGCTCTCTGTCAAATATTTCACTAAAAAGAGTATTTGTACTTAGTTTTTATGAAATTAAAAAATATTAAAAAAAAAAAAATAAATAAAAATAAATAAATAAATAAAAAATAAAATTAATTTTCGAGTGTTATAACTGTGAATTCGAAAAATATACCCTCTGGATGAAATAGTACTGGGTGCGCAAACTACCATTGGTAGTACAACTTAGCAAGCTCCCAAGAGGAGCCTTTGCAATTTGCTGGCAGCACACGCATACACACACACACACACACACACACACACACACAAACAAACACACATCTACACCCATTCTGTACCGTAACCATCATAACTTGGCTACTCACCTGAGCTTCGCTCTTCTCACTTTTTTTTTTTTTTAGATATTTCTTGCGAGTGCTCAAAGTATTTTTTCCTTTTTTTTTCTGTTCATATTGCTTTTGTCAGCGAGCTGTGTGTGGCAGGTTGGTTTGTCTTGGTTCGGCTTGCAACATTTCGTTAGGTTCAAACGAGCATTTTGGCCCGCTAGCAAAAAGCTGTTCATAAATTGCATGTTGGCATTTCTACGAAAGCGTGTTTACCTGTGTGTGGATGTGTGTGTGTGTGTGTGTGTGTGAGTGTGCGTGTGTTGGTTTTTTTTTTGTGTACCGGCATGTACTCTATTTTGTTTTTTAATAGACCCTCTTCGCATTTAAACTGTTATGCTTGGCCTGGCCTGGCGCAAAAGACCTTTCCGCATTTATCGCTTAAGCCAAATCAGTGTCAAGCTCTGCCACATACATACACATTCATATATGTACATACATACGTCCTTCCCAACTCCCCATCCATTTGCAGTGCTTTCAATGCTAGAATCGATAGTCGGGAACTAAAATGAAATTTACGTTTTGTAGGCAGTGGCTGCAGTTTAAAATTGACCCAGGCATAAACTAGCCTTTGGCCGTGTTGCATGTAGCCCGTAAGCTACAGCCAATTTGGCGCAGAGCCAGAAAAAAGTATCTGGAAAACCATAAATTTCACTGTACTCCACTTAGGCATACACCCACATTTTAATTAGCAAGCAATTAGAGACAAAATGACCGACGAGCGTAATTAAAAATTTGTTTACTTTGCATATTACTAAATTAGGGAGCTTTTGCTTCCACACACATAAAAACTAAATTAAATTTAACATTTCGATGAGTTTAGTTTATGCTTTTATGAGTCTACGCCTTCCTCCAAGTGGGTGTAACAGTTGGCCAGCTTTTTTATTATGGCCAAAGTGTTAAGTGATTTCATCGAACTGGTAATCGATGCGGAATATGATGTATGCGATGCCAGCGATAGAGGCTGTCCATAAATAACAATCAGATAAATAGTATAATGAAACGTATCACAGCATTTATTACAATACAAATAGTCAATAAAATGGCGTGAGAAGTTGCTAAATGCTAAGGAATTCATCGATTATTCAAGCCATTTCTTCTTATCTGAACTTTATTAACTTGTGTGGCAATAAAAAGAAGTATAGCATATGTGACGATAAATTATCCAGTTTAATCCATAGGTGTATATTGTCATAGTAAGAGTTGAGACTTTTGCTTGACTTTTAGGATGCCTTGGAAATTCTCTTAATATATTTTATAAAAGTTTAAGAAATTTTACAGAAATAGCAGCATATTGTAATTGTAATTGTCTGTAATTGTTTGCGAAAACGGAAAAGCTTTCGTTTGAGAAGGGATTCTAGTATAAATATATAAATAGAAATAGCTATTTTCAATCGAAAAATTAGACATGCATTTGAAATTGTTTTCAATCAATCAGAACAACAACAACATTTATTGCGCACAACATCTCAAGGCTTAATGATATCAGCCACATCTATTAACTGCATGCAGGCTAAGAAAACTATTTTCCTTAAGTATTTTAAGATATAATGTTATTCTGACATTATTATTATTACATTCTAAATGTATGTGATTTATATCATAATTTTATAATTTTGTATATTTATGCTTGCATATGCTCTTAAATCTCCTTTTCATACCTCATTTTCCGACATCATTTCGAATATTTAGGTTTATTTGTGTGTAAAATCAAATTATCAAACCACATACCGAAAATGATAATTAACAATTACAATTGAGCACTTAATTACCATTAATTTGACGCATATAACAATCAAATGGAAACCAGACATGCAAATTAAATAGATAAACAAAATAAGCAACAAAAAAAATGCATAATTATATTTGAGTTTTATTTCAATAAATATTTAGCAAAATGCATCCGCAATTAATTAAAACTAACACAGAAATCAAATATAACAGCTACAAGAGAGTATGTGTGTGTGTGTGTGTGTGTTGCAGCTGAAATAAATTCGCGCAGGCAATTAAAAATTTGCACTTTAGCTGCGCCACCAAATGACGCATGTTTGTTTGTATGTATGCATCTGTAAGCCCATTGTTGCTACCATTATTGCTGTTGTTATTTGGTTGCAAGCACAATACATATACAGATAGACACATTCGAGTGTTTGTTTTGTTAGTCTATTTTAACCACACCAGCGCCAGTTAGTTATTAGTTGCGGTTGTGTCAAGTGTCAACGTCAAGGCTCGAGTGCATTGTTAGCGCCATTTGTGCCACCTAACGTTCAATGGAGAGCTGCAACGTTGAGAATGGGTAGTGTGTAACGCAGAGCCGTTTGTTAGTGCCCACTGTACATTCCCAAATGAAAGAAGTGAACAAACTGCACTCAATATGCATACGAAAATAGTTCAAAGGAAATACACTTAGCACTCACTGTGCAACCCGCTCGCCCCTGCTCACCTCTGGCGAGCACCGCTGGTGCAAACATTTTTGTCTTGCTTTCATTAATTTACATATTTAGTAAGTCGTTGAAAATGCGGCTTTCTTGTTTTTCGTAACGTTTCCTGCTGCCTCCAGCCTGCTCAGCGGTTTGTGTTATTTTTAGTCAACCTGCCGCAATTGCAGCACTCGTTAAAATTCATTGTAGGAAATATCAAGTATATACGGATATCTGCACTTGGCTTCAATTCAGAAAGCTACAACTAAATATACAAAACCTCAAGAAGCTCTAAATCAAGTTGAAGGACAGATGCCGATTCAGCTTATCTGAGAGAAATTGAAATGCATCTAAGTTTAGTTACTTGACTCTAAAACTTGACTAGAATATATACCGAGTTATGTGCCTCAGAACCAAGGAGTATGTCTACAAATAAAACTGTTTGTCGTATACAATTTTCAATTTGGGAGTACAAACAAACATAAAATGGGACCAACTCTCCAAATGGACTAAGCACAATTAAATGAATGACATATAAATATAAATATATTCATATAAATATAAATATATACATATAAAAAAAAATAAAAAACACACCGCTTATGCTTCCTCACTTTAAATGTTATTTAATTTAATTAATGATTTTTTTTACTCTATTTTTATTTATTGAAAACATTTTTAAAAATGGTCTACTGTTTTTTTAAATAAATAACATATTGGTCAATCTGTTAGTGAGTGAGATATTTTTTTAACATTTAACTTTACTTTTGTAGGCTAGTAGGCTAGTTGATTTAAATTAAATTCTAACTAAATAAATGTATTGCACTGCAAAAGAAACATCTAAATAAAGAACTAAATAAATATTTTAATATGTATATTCGATTTTTGCAATGCAATTTTAAGCAACGCAACACATATTTTATCAGTAGTTTATATATGCGTTTCGTATATGACCTATGAGAATTTTTCAAACCAATTGCGAAAATATATATTTCGAGTAATTGATAGATTACCATTATCATAATCAAAATGTGAGTGGCCAAATTATCCCTTGATTATAATAAATCAGCTGTTACTACTTTTTATTCGTCTGTGCGAAAGGACAAATAAAGCAATTAATTTAAATATAAACAGGCTATAATAACTTTTCGGCAAAGAGCCCAATAAATAAGAAACACATTTGAAAATGAGTAATGATGTAGTTTCAGCATTATTTCATTAAAAATATACAAAAAATAAATTCAATTTATTGAACAATAATTTTAATTTAAAATAAGCGCTAACTTAGACAATGATATTGTCATTCTTTTCATAATATCGATACGATACGGTAAATCTTCTCACAAATCACAAATTACTCTATGGATATTTAGGAGTGTAAAATGAATAAATGATAGTGGAAACAGTCAGCAAGAAATACAATCAGACTTCGATTAAGCTCTTCAGCTGTCACACCTCTACAGTGCATGCAAAAAAAAAGTTATTGTTCGATGTTAGATGCTGATTTAGATGCTTTTCGCATCCGTTGAGAGCA